GAAAAATATAATTGATCGTGAATGGGGCAATTTTTATCTATAGATTCTTTTAATTTATAAAGTTCGTCTAAACTGCTGGTTTCTGATTCTGAAAATGCGTTGCGGTTTTTGGAAAATCTTTTTCGTGTAATTTGTCTTTGTTTGGTTATTATTTTTCTTTTTAGTGTTTGTCGTTTTGTTCTGATATATCCAACTGTTTGTGTGTGTGGTGTGATTACAAGATCGTATTTTTTGTTATCTATTTCACAATTGTGTAAAACGATTGTTTGTTTATTTCCTAGGTTTTTAAATGACATAAGGTTTAGGATGACGGATGCAAAAGGTTGTTAAATGATTTCTATTACTTAGACTGTTAGTCCTTACGATTTTTTGGTTAGCCTAACCTGGGTCTATTTGTTCAGGGTTGGGGAGAAAAGTATATCGATTCCGAAGAATGATTTTATACTTTCTCGTGGCTAGTATAAGCTAAGGTGTTAACTTACTTAATCTTACTTAAGGGTAGTGATTGTGTTCAGGGTTGGAGAATAGTAAATCGATCCACAAGGTTCAGGTATAATTAGAACGCGAGTAGTTCGTTAGATACTATTTTAAACTTACTAAGTCTAAGATTTATCCTGGGTCTGGTAAGAGGGGGGATCAAGTGAAGGATGAATAACCGAAGTTCTTCACTGTTTATCCTAATTTGAATGATTAGTTTTGTTCAAAAATTTCTGTTAGTCCTGGGTTTTTAGAAAGGGTTGGATAGTGAATCGACGTTTGAGGTCGTTAGACACTAGCTAAGTGGGTGGGGGAGAACAAAATTGTTCTTTTTGATCCAGGAGAGGCCTTGATGATCAAGTTTTAAATTTAATTAAATAGAAAATGATTTAAGATCCAAGGATGAGCCTTGATGATCTGATTTTAAATTTAAGTGAATTGAAGTTTAAAATGATTTAAATTTGTGTAGAGAAAAAATTTAGTGTTTTTATGATATTAGTGAGCTTATGAATGCTGTTACGTTTAGGTGATGAAGCTGGAACAACAGGATGATTTATAATTACTAACCATTTATTGTCATGCTACTAATTTTTATTTTGATTTTTCAATAAATATTTTTCAAACATGTTTTGTATATTACTGCAGAATTTTAGGAAAACGATTTGAGATCTCCTTATCAATCGTTATTGTTTATTAATAATTTGGTTTAGCGCCTGAAATGATTTTGAAGATTGACTTCAAGATTTTATGTTTGCAAATGAAAATCTAAATTCATTGCTAGTAGTATTCTAAATACAAAAGTTTGTGTTGGCTTTTGCCGAACTATCATATAATTATATGGTAGGTTTCTACTTTGTCGTATGTCGTCTCTGGTTCGAGGTCTTCTTGCAATTCCGGGTAGTTCTCTTATCGTTCGGAATATTGGCTTTGATCTATTGAGTCGTAGAGACATTTCGATTAAATTATTGTCGTGTAACATTTTAAAAATGTTTTGTCTAAATTCTAATCTATTTTTGGTTAATTCTAAGCTATTAAGGTCTTGTTCGAGACTTATGGTCGCACCAGATGAGTTAGGACCGAAGTGTATAACTCATAGAGTAATTTCGGATAGGGTACACCGTCTGCTCGTCACGCTATCTTATTTTCGGCCGGATAGATTCGTGCAACTTCTTAGTCTAATACCAATCCTAATCTTACTCTTATACTACCTAGTCTCAGGTTGTTTAACTAGTCTCTGCTATGCTCAATAGATCTAGGGTATACTGGTTTATTGCGGTTGCTGAAGTCTTCTTGGAGAGTCAACTAATTTCTAAGTTAAATTCAAATCTCTCTGGTGCTGAAATTACAAGTAATTCCAGCACTTACAAATAAGTGGGTTGTTAGTTGTATGGATCATGATTGGTTAATATTAAATACTTTACAGTGGTAAAATATCTAATTTATCCAATCATAAAATGTAGTTTAAATCAGGTTCCAATAGTCTGTCTCACATAAAAAAAAGAGTTGATTTTAAAAGAATTTTGTTAAAGTAATCGTGTGTTGAAAAATTGAAAAAAGTTTGATGCAGTTCTTATAGAAACATAAAAAAAATTCATGCTACACAAATTGCGAGTTTCTTTTTCATAAGTAACAGATAAAAATGAGACAAAAAAGTGAAATTTTGGTCAAAACATCGTGATCCAAAAATCCACAAGGTACCAAAAACGTTGCAAAAAACCTTAGAACCAAGCAGCATGATTATTAGGAAAATATGATGCTCTTAAAACGCACTAATAAAAAATTATTAAGTTATTGAATTTACTTAATACAAAACTTTTAAACAGTTACTACAAAAACAACCTCCAGAAATCCTATAAAAACCCTGAAAAGAAGTTTTAACCCATAAAACTTATTCAGTAAACCCAAAATTATCTTATCAAATAAGAAATTGTTACGCAGCGGTAAGAGAGATGAATCACAATGAAAAACAGTAACAAATAAACACGCTGGAATAAGAAAAAAAATGATGAGAAAAATTTGCGAAAACTCTCAGCCAGAAACAAAAACGGTCTTGGATGTTGTGCATCATTCGTCAAATACCTTGATAGAGAGAACAGTCAAGTCAAAATTGCAACAAAAACTTTGTAAACTAATGTTTTTTTAAACATACTAAAACATTATAACTTTACACTTTGCCATCAACTTCAATGGGTTCAAAACGAAATTGTTCAAACCAAAATATGAGGCCCCGAGGCTCAAAACTAAAACTTTTTCGAACAAAAAAATAAGTCCGATATGCACTCAAATGAAAAATTGTTACATTTTTTTCAATCGTTTTTAAATCTTTCTTTTTAACCCAAAATGTTCGGCACGTATAAAAAGAAAAAAGCCATAAGCTAAATGTACGCTCGTCATTATTGGATTTTAAAAAATTTTCAAAAACTATTCAAAAGTTATCAATATAAAACACCCGCAAATAAGCCGCCAAATTTCCGACAAAATTCTTAAAGCCTGCAAAAACAATTATTCAAATCTGGGTTGTTTTCAGCAGTAGACAAGTATCATTTCAATATCTCTAATCTCAGAACTACTTGAAAATGCTGTTAAAAACTGAACTTGGCCAGGAGTGAGATCCTATAAATTTGCAGAACCTGTGACCAAAGTTTTTTACGAGAAAAGTTTTTTACGAGCCTTGCGCAGGAAAGATTCACATAAGTGTTTTTTTTTCGGTTAAACCTTTTATCTGCGAATTGGCGGGGTAGTTTTTAAGAAGTTTATGAAATTAAGTTTAAAAAACAGGCTATTTTGAAGCCATAACTTTTTTCTACCAAATTTAGGAAATAACCACTTGAGGAGGGGAGATTACCATGGTTTGTTCTCTTGCTTGAAACCTTCATCTCAGATTTGTGCATTCAAGAGAAAAAAACTTTAAAACAATTATAGATCATAAATTCCCCTACTGAAACATTCGAAGGCCGTGGAACGTGAGGTAAAATGAAAAGTGAAGGCAAAATATGCAGGCACATAGAAGAGCAGCCGGTTTGTCCAGTCATGGTTTGACACAGAGGCGAGTTGCATTGCGAATACACAAGCAAAAAAATGACCGATAACGCTTCTGGGAAAAACTGAATGAGAAAAACTTTGAGTCTATAAAAATTCATAAGTGACGCACGCCAATTATGACGCATTAGCAGTACCAGTCATTTTGTATATATAAGAATTAAAAAAATCATCCCCCACGCGCCATATTAAGTACAAAAGGATAGATTTCGCTCCTTGTAACAAATCAATTATGGCAAATAAGCTTCTTTCAACCAATTTAGAACAGTTTCAATGACGGTTTAAATCTCCGCTAACGTGTTAATAGCGCGATATATATCGCGCGTTATTGTCCCAAATTGGCCAAAATGGCGATATTTAAACCCCCATAACTTTACGAAAAAGAATCACAGGTAAAATATCTTTTCAAATTTGAACTCAACACAACAATACATTTGGAATGATATAAAAACGTTGCGTCAAAAATGGCTAGTTAAATAGTCGAAATTTGTCTGAAGAAAAAAAACACCCCGAGCACAAATATTCCGTTACGAAAGTCGGAACAAAAATAGTCTATATTGACATCTTTAGCATTGGCTGCACGTAATAGTTGGTTATTGATCAAAATGAACACTTTCACAATGAACACATTTTATTGCAACAATATTTGCATCGCAGCAATATTTGCGACTTAGGTTGGAAAAAAAGATAGTTCATACTATAACGCAAGCATTGCTTGTGTAAAAACGGTACCTTGAAGCATCTGCGAAAAGTGCAAAAATTTTCAAACGCGTCCCAAAAAACATAAAACAAATCCCATGCAATTCCATAATACCTATTTTTTTAAACGACCTACACTAGCCCAATTATACCAACAACATATGCTATTAAACTGTTGATGCTTAAATAGGCTTAAATTTGATTTAATTGAAATATACCAATTGAGCTCTTTTATTTGCGACTTAGGATAGTAATAATGTAGTTTCTTCACTAGCAATAATAAATATAATAATTTTGGTTTCTGCAAATCGCAGAGGAGCTATCAAAGGTGGTGCAGCCTGTCTGCGGTCTATGGGTAGTCCTTATTGGAAATTCCATACGGAGTTATTTTGCTGAGCGACGCTTATTGAGGTCAAGCGCGCAATAACAAACATGCTTATCAGTGAAAAATTTCTTGCAGTGATCATTGATTTTCAAACCAGGAGGAAAGTTTTGCCGACAGAAAGTAATTTTTATGAGTCTTTTTCCACTAGTTGGTTTGTTCGACTTGCAAAATTTTATCCCATTAAGTTATTTTCGTAGGAGCTAGCTGAAATACTAGGTAAATTGTTAATTGCATCCTTTGTTATTCTTTTGCACTATAATTTTTTTCAGTTTTTCCAAGAGGGAGCTCGCAGACTGAAATTCAAGTTTATATATATTTTTAAAAAAACCTCATTAAGCTCTTTTCACAAGGAAAATCAATTTTAGAGAAAATCTATTTTAACTTGAGGATAGTAATTGAATTTAAAACATGAAATACTTCTAATTACAATAATACAAAAATCTACCTCACAATGGCTCTTATGTTTATAATTATACCAGTAAATAATAATAAATTTAATAATACCATGTCAGGGTGTTCGCATAAGTTGAATGCAGAAATTCAAATCACAATCAGTGCTTTACATTATTTTCATCTACAACACACAGTTTAAGCATCAGTTAGGGAGTTATTTTTGATGAAATTCCACAAAATGCTATTTTTGATCTTTTTTTTTTGAAAATATATGTTTATCAGGCAACGGTCATATAAAAAGTCTGACTTCAATTGATTTTTAAGACTTAATAGCTTACAAACTGGCAAGCATCTCGAGAAGGCTAAGTTTTAAGCCTGAACTGATACCAAATGAGCAGTAAAAAGACATCAAAAATAGCAGTTGGACAATGAGTTTGAGGCCCTATTTACAATTAGAAAAAGCTCGAACACTGCAATGTACTGACCGTCTGCAACAGATAGATTATTCAAATAACTTTTCATTCGATACTTGGGTAGAAAAACGCCATATCATTCTGTGGCCTATGTGAACAATCTCCACCTAAATAGACCATGTGAACAATCTCCCCCTAAATAGACCAAGTGAGCAATCTCCCCCTAAATAGACCGAGTGAACAATCTCCCCCCTAAAATTAGAAGACAAAATCAAGCAGTAAGGCATGCATGTACTATACTCAAATATGATTGGCTGAGAAGTATTATTTTTAACCAGTGAACGATCTCTTGATTACGGGAGGAGATAGTTCACTTGGTCCCATTCTTTTAGCCGACTATGTAGTTCATTAAGTTTCTCTTTTATAGTCGAAATCAAAATACCTCAAAAACCTTTCATTCTTCGAAACTAAATGTGTTTATTTGTCTATCAATCTTCGAACGACTGCTTAACTTGATTTGCTTACATTTTGCTTTGAATCATTTCACAAAACGAGCAAAAAATTAGATATTGGGGCAGCGCGGAGGGAACGAGAGGTCTCTAAAACCCATTATGTATGCTACCAGTTGCTCTTTTTTGTTTCAGAATACGTGCGTCTATCCAAGTATCTAAGATAAAACAAAGGCATGTAATAAATTCAAACCCAATTTAAGTTCTTCTCTAACTCTGATAGTAACAATATAACGTGCAATTTGAAAATAGTTAATTCGATTTATAGACGTAGTGTGTGATTTTGAATCAAAAAAATTGAGTAAACATTACGCGCGGTGAGTGATAAGAAAGTTCTACGTGTAGGGCACTTCTCTATTGACGAAACATCATTTCAATGCCGTCATTGTTTCTGTGATTCTAACACCAAAAAATTGCATCAAATCATGATGGCCAGAAAAAGAGCAATTCACAAACAAAAATAAGTTTATCAAAGTAGTTTTCAGATACCAAAAACATCAGGAACAAAACCTGACAGAAGACTCTAAAACTGAGCAGAGCAGTTTCATTTTTGAATTGCAGATATGAAAGCTCTTTCTGTCCTTTTGTTTCTCTCAGATTTGGCGGAGTGCAGAGGTTGTTTTCGATTCGTAATTTGGGATATTCAGACCCAAAAGGTCTTTCGGATTAGTGCGAGGAAGTATATACAAATTGGGTTGGAGATTCTCGTGACAATTTAGAGACATGGTGTTTGGGTGGGGACTTCATTTGAGAAGTCAATCGAGACTCGAGAACGAAAAGTGAAGTTCTTTGCAGGTAAGGTGGCAGAATAAATTGCACCTCGTATTCTAACTAGTGACACAATATCGGAGTATATTTCCAGTCTCAATCAAGATAGCAGTTGTTCGAAGTCAGCTCGACCTAAAAGGAAGACTCAATTCCGGTTTGATAACTAAACATAGCCAATCGAAGATTGGAAATGAGTAATGAACGCAAGTAAACATAAAAAACACTGATTTTGTTGAAAAAATTTCACTTTAAAATTTAAAAGAAAAAACTGGATGCCCTTTGAGCTCTTTGAATTACTAGAACAATTTATGATGGGCGCTTTTTTGATAACATTAACCCGATTAGAGAAAACTGGATCAACAGGTAAGTTTTTATTCCGCTGGAAATGTAAAACTTAAATTCTACTTTCGAAACTAGAAATCGTTCGTTTTTTAGCGCCATTTCCACGTTCGTATTTGGAGAGTGTTATTTACGTCACTTGCAGCAGATGAATTTCAATTGAACTCAAAAAGTACATTATAACTAAGTGCATCAATATTTTATGACTTTTTCCTGAAAAAAAAAAAAAACAAACAATCAGCAAGACCTATGTAAGAGTCTTCACTACGTTCATTACTCTTAAAAATGACATAGAAGTGAAGCTGCACTTCTCAAACAAAGCAAAAAAATTGCCAAATTATACTTCTTAAAATCGCTTAAAAAACTCAGGAAAATTCCCAAATGTGCTTCGAAAAAAAAAGAATTGAAAAACTAAACATTGCCAACAGACAGTTGGAAAAGTATCAACGAAGGAAACAAAAAAAAAGACTCTCAAGTTCCTAAGATATCTATTCAAAAAGCTTCGAGGGACTTATATAAAACTATAAGTATATGATAACACCGTAACCTTTTTGAATTTGCAGAATCTTTCATGATTGATATTTCTGATGAAACTATGGCCAATAAGAGAAAACTTGATCAATATATTTTGTATGAGGCAGGAAATTCTGAAAACAAAATATAATTTTCAACAAAAGACAATCATGTTATTTTACGCCATTGCAACTTTTGTTAACCGAGTGCGGAATTCCCTTTCCTTTAAGCAAATGAATTTGAATTGAACTTAAAAAGTAATTAAAGTCAAACCAGCAAAAATCAAAAAGTTCAGCGTAAACAACACGGCCTAGAAAAGTGTCTTCACTATGTTCATTGACACTCAGCCATAACCAATAGAAAGTTGGATTGAGAGGCGAAGCTGCGCTTCGCAAACACTACCCAGCTGACAACTAAAAAGCAGCTCTATGAAAAAAAGATAAAAATAGGCCTTGACAATTGATACTTTTGCTCTGCTCTGGCGGATTCGATCCACCGACTTGAAGATGTAGAGTCTTGTTTCCTCTCATCTGCGCCACGGTCCCTTAATAATTTAATGACAGTAGTCATAAATAAAGCAGCTACATATGCTCTTAAATTGTCATTGCGATACAGCAAGTGACACCAAATATAAGTAGACACAATTTTGCAAGAAATAACTTGGATCATGACAAACTGAGCGCATCCACACTGGAAAGCATCAAAAAACTGCGAACTATACTGAGTTGAGAAATTTCTGAAATCGAGTTTTTACACAGAGGCAAAGCTGAGTTTCGCACCACTTGCGATGCAAAAATTAAACAATGAGTACACCATGATGGTAAAAAAATGAGCAAACGGAACTTTGAACGATATAACAATTGAAGGAGGAAAGGGAAAAACGAGAAAAAGATTTAAAAAAAAAACAAAAGAAAACATTTTTTTTATGTTTGAATTTTTTTTAAAGTTTTAATTTTTCGAAGAAGTCCTAATGGGGTTGAATTTAGGCAATCAAAAATTGATGCCAGTCTTATCGATCTCAAAAACGCTACATTTTAAGGAAGAAAAATTCGGTAAATAGGCCGACAGAAAGAAGCCGACATCCAATAAGCTGAAGCTCAGCCGAAAACTTTCGTCAAAAACATGGAAAAATTTTATGTAACGCCCACATAGGATCCACGATAGATTTATCAGGAGCGTATACAAAGATAACTACATACTTTAGAAACTAAACCAACAGAGCCTAAGTCGACAACTAAGACGCCGAAAAATTATCAGCAGAAAAAATATCAAAACTATCATACATAAAATAGTTTGAAATCTCGATATAGCAAGCAGTAGTAACTAAAACCCTAGCATGCGGTAATTAAGTTTGAATTTTTATTGAGCATATCAGGATCAAAACTGATTGAACTGATTTTGTAAAACTAGTTGTTAACCCGAAAAAGATCTATATTCCGATTTGATAATGTTTGCTAATCGCAAGCGTAATTATTGTACTGCTGAATGAAACAATAGCTTTTTTCGGTTCAACTGATGAATTAAAAATGCATCAACTGTGTTAACTTATTACCAATCGACTGACAAATCACATGTTATCAAAATGCTGTAAAAAGGCCAGCAAAATTAGCACCAATATTTGTGACTTGGTTAGAAAAAAAACAATAGGTTGGAAAAAACAATAGTTGAACTATTACACTACACTCGCATAAGCTAGTGTAACAAAAAAAGATATTTTTTTACTATTCTTTTAATCAAAATTTTCCACTCTTTAAGAAAACTCATCACGTTGAATCTTTTGAATTTCCAACACCATCAGAAGTCTAGTCGTGAAAATTAGAAGTGACTGTGATCGGATATTGACTTTTTTGCTGAAAAAACCTAACTAACCTAAAAAAAATTGTCCTCACTTTGCTCATTAACACTTAAAAAGTACTGAAAATTTTTTTTGAGCCTATTAAGGAATTATTGCGACAATAGCTTGCCCCAATTCAAATTGAATTAATTAATTGAACGAGCCAAAATTAGGATTAACTCTCGGCTTTCAAATAATTCGCGTTTACACATCCAGCGTCATAGACTAAAGTAGTAAAGCGTGCAAGCGTAGTTTTGCAAAATTAAATCTTTCAAACCTCCAAACTTCAAAAAAATTGATCTCAAGTTGATTATCTTTCTATAGTTGAGCTCAGGGGGTGTTTATATCTCAAAAGGTACAAAAATGACCTTCAAATATATCATTTCGACAAAAAATTGACACAAAAATATTATATTTGCATTGGAAAAAAGGACTGACCGATCAAAAATACGCTCGCTTGCTTTATAAGCAAACTTTTGTTCCGACTTTCGATACGAAAGTAACGGAATATTTGTGCTCGGGGTGGGTTTTTTTTCTTCAGACAAACTTTGACTTTTTAACTAGCCTTTTTGGACGGCATTTTTTTATATCATTCGAAAGGTATTGCTGCCTTGAGCTTGAATTTGAAAAAATATTTCACCTGTGATCATTTTTCGTAAAGTTATGGGGAATTAAAGATTGCCATTTTGGCCAATTTGGGACAATTAACGCGCGATATATTTCGCGCTCTTAACGCGTAAGCGGAGATTGAATCCGTCTTAGAAATCGTTCCAAATTGGTCGAAGGAAGCTTATTTGCCATAATTGATTTGTTACAAGGAGCGAAATATATCCTGTTGTACCTAATATGGCATGTGGGAAGATGATTTTCATTAAAAAAATTTCAAATTTCAGAGAAAAAAGTTAATTTTATTTTATTACATTTAATTTTTTTTTATTTTATTACTGCTCCATAAACCTTAAAAGGTAGTCGGAACATTCAGGGCTTCGCCTTGATACGAGCAGTCTTGTTTGTATTTGTTTTTAGAGAGCGACAACTCGCAATAAAAGGAAAGACTACGGAAATTCGTTGAATAGAAAATTGGTTAAAGACATGGCATTGGCAAGAAGCGTCTAATTTCTCCTCTTTGCTTAATTGTCACAAGTCGTGTAATGCGAGGGAATCAGTGTTTGGCGCCTATCTGTATCGTTTTTTTTGTTAATTAAGGAGAAAATATAATTGTCTATTTATGGCAGTTGTCTGTTGTTGCTAGTTGTTTTTTGGTGTTTGTTGTCCTTTTTTGCAAGTTACCTTTTGTTCCTGAAAAAAACATAATTCATTTATCTTGCAAATTCATTTATCTTCAAAAGCAGCATTTTTATCATTGTGACTCAAAAACGCCGAAAAACTACTGATGTTTTGTAAATTCTCTGTTTGATAGAAACAATTGTATCAGCCTAAATATCTTTGTAAACAACCGCTTTACTTTTGACACTGTTTTATGGTAGACACAGTAGGTTTCATTTGCAGAGAAATTTAAAATTTTAAATCTCATTTTAAAATTAAAGCTCGAGATCCATTTAGCGCTATTTACTATTGTTACTTTCAAGCATAATGCAGAATTTGAAGCGAGTTGAAAAAAAATAGATATTAAATATAAATTTGCAAGGCATCTTCCTGAAAAAATCAACAAAAATCAAACAATTTAAATTCCACTTCATGCATAACGACATGGACATGTGCTGGCGATTCTATAGTTTCCCCCTCGCCCACATACCCTTTTTTGTTATAAACATCAACTTAACAGAGTAATCATTGATGTTACGAAACTGTATATGTGGAAAAATGTGTTTTCATGACAACTTTACTGCGTGGACTAAAGTAAGATACACAGAAAATGGCATGCGGGGTAGGGGAATGGTAGATCCCTTGTGTTTAAAAATCAAGAATCATTTATAATTTAAAATTAATTTGACATTTCTCCCTATCACGTTATGTCTATGGCCAAAAACAAGCAATAAAAGTAACACGGGCAAAGCGGAGCTTCGAACCACTTGCGATACATCATAAACATCAAACACATAAGTCGCGAAAAAAATGATAGATATTCAAAAAACTAGGTCTACCAAAAGGAAATTTTCGGATGTCTGAATAGAAGTTCATTCTAGGAGAACCTGCCAGACAAGACAATTGAATACTAAACTAGCAACAAAACAAAACATACGAAGAGAAAAACAACGCCAACAGACGGTTGGAAAAAGAGTCAATGAACGCAAGAAAGCAGAAAAAGTATACTGACTTGTTTTTTTAAAAACTTTAACTTTGGAATTTCAAAAAACTAGAACAATTTACGATAAAGTTAATCCAATATGAGAAAACTGGACTGTAAGGTAAATTTTTATTCCGCTGGGATATCTATAAATTAAATTTCATTTTCGAAACTAAAGTCGATTACATTTTTTGAGGCTTTTACACTTTATACTGTTGGATAGTGGAGTTTGTCTTCCTTTGAACAAAAGATATGAATTGAACTTGAAAGAAATCAAAAGTCAAAACGCTAAAAAGTAAAATTGAGCCTGAACAAATTTTATTTTTCCTGAAAAAACGAAAAAAAATCATCGCGACCTTTATAAGGGTCCAAATTACGTTCATCGACTCTTAACAAAGCCGACGAGCAGACACAAATTGAGTCGAAACCAAACATAGCCAACTGACAGTTGAAAAAGAGTAATGGACGCAAGTTGACGAAAAAAAAAACGACTTTGTTGAAGAAAAACTCAACTTTCGAACCATTTTTGCTCCATTTCCACGTTCGTATTTGGAGAGTGCTATTTACATAACTTTCAGCAGATGAATTTCAATTGAACTCAAAAAATGCATATATATCTAAGTGCATTCATAAACGCATTAATATATATGAACGCGCACATGTGTAGTTATTAGAGCAGTTTAAGAGTTTCCTGAAAAAAAATCAACAAAAACATTATCAAAGTCATCACTACGTTCATTACTCTTAATAAATTTAATAAGTTAAAAGTTCTAAGTCCCTTCTAAAACACAATGACCAACACTTGCACTTGCAACTAAAATGAAAGTTGCTAGCAGCACAAGAAAAATCCGTGATGTGGCAAATATGCCGACTATCTTAGAGCAAACACCATTTGAGCCGAAGAAATCTTTATTAGAAACTTTTTAAAAGTTTCAAGTCACCCCTGAAACTCCAAAGGACAACATTTGCCTTTGCAATTATAATAAATTGCTTACATCACAAGCAAAATCAGTGATGAGGCAAGGAAGCTAGCAAACGAAGTCCAACAATTCTATTTTTACCGGAAACAAATTTCAATTGCTTACAAGATGAATAAAACTAGGCCTAATCGGGACTGGTGTGCAAAGGTAACCCCTGGACCAAAAGGAAACAACTTGGAAATTGTTGTTTCAATAACGAAGCAAGCTGAAGTGTTTAAGTGGTTTACGGGAAAAAGTCTAGTTCCCGATTAGTATCCACTTGCTCTCGCTAATTAGGTGGAATCGTCACGTTCTTTTGCATTCACACAGAGGCAAAGCTGCGCTTCGCAAACACTTGCATGAACACGACCGAAAAGCAGCTATATCAAGTGAAAAAAGAAAAAGTAAAAATCAGCATGGAATTAGCAAAAACTCGGCTACGTGTCGGATTCGAATCTGCGACCTAGCATAATTGGTCTCACGCACGAACCACTCAGCCACGGATGCTTAAAATCTCCAAAAACTAGCCACCAATGACGCAGCTACATATGCTAATAAATTGCCAATGCCATTCAGCAGAAGTGGCACCAAATACAAATAGACTCAATTTTGCATGCGGTAATTTGAAATATAACAAACTGAAGGCATCCAATCTAATTTTGCATGAAACAAATCGCAAAGCATAAAGCCATAGTATGCAACAATTTTGCATTTCAAAAAATTGCGAGATATTTTGAGTTAGAAAATTTCTGAAATCGAGTTTTCATTTTTGTTATGTTGTTTGAAACTATCACATTTTTCGTTTCATTTGATGAATTAAAAATGCATCAACTGTGTTAACTTATTACTATTAAAATGTCAAAGCACATGCTATGAAAAAGCTCTAAAGGTGCCCCATAGTGGCGCCAATATGTGCGACTTAGAAGAAGGTTCGTACTAATACACTCGTTTCGCAAGTGTTATACATAGCCAATCGAAGATAGGAAAAGAGTAATGAATGCAAGTAAATATAATAAAAATCACTAACTTTCTTGAAAAAATCTCAAATTTCGATATTCGAAGAAAAAAACGGATGGCCTTAAAACTCTTTGATTTTCTATAACAATTTATGATTGGCGCTTTTTTGATAACATGAACCCAACTTGAGAAAACTGGATCAATAAGTAAAGTTTTTATTCCGCTGGGAAATCTCAGAAATCAATTCCACTTTCGAAACTAGAAGTCGTTCACGTTTTTTCGCGCCATTTCCACGTTCGTATTTGAAGAGCGCTATTTACGTCACTTTCAGCAGATGAATTTCAATTGAACTCAAAAAATGCATCATACCTAAGTGCATCAATATTTTAACTTTTTTTCCTGAAAAAACTAACAAAAAAAAAGCAGCAAGACCTATATAAGAGTCTTCACTACGTTCATTACTCTTAAAAACAGTCAAAATCTTAATTGCCTTCTTCTGAAGGTTTCGTTGAAAAGTAGACAAAAGTAACCACCCTTAAATCAAACTCGTTAGAACCCTGAAATCAAAATTTTAAATTCCGATCCTATTGCAACGTTGTGTTTTGCCCCCCCCCCCCCACTTTCACTTTCAACCCACCAGCAATTAAACCTGTGAGCGCTCCTCTTCGCTCACTAAGCGTCGGTCTGTGAGTTATTGGCAGCTGATGCTGTCTGGTTAGGTCCTTGCGAGTTGATTGTTAGCTTGCTCAGGTCTACACTTGCGGGAAGGTTGCGCAGCTCCTCATTTGAGAACTCGAACAGGGGTGGCAATGAAGACGCATTGCCCCCACCCGCCCCTCCCCCTCCTCCCCCACTCGACTGGTGAGCAACCCCACTTGCAGCTGCTAAACACACACCACCCAAATCACTCTCTCTGATCCTGATTCACAAATAAAACAGCGCGGTCGAATCTTTATAGCCGTTACTTAAATTCTAACGAGATAACAGAAACAAAACTCGGTTAATAAGTCCAAAAACTGATATCAGAATTGTGATAACAAATGAGAAAAACAAAACACTTTGTTTCTCGTCTTTGAGAAAAACAAAAAATTTTGTTATTAAAAAATGTAAGACCCGCAATTTTTAAAAACGATAGGGTCATTTTTGGGTCCCAGACCAGTTGCAATGGAAATTCACTTGCAACTAGGTCAAGATCTTTCTAGAAAACAGACAACAGTTATGCAATGTATAACCATTGACCTCATAAGTAAAATAACCAACGACCAGACTGCGATGGCCCTAACGCTGAAAATAAGTAAGCGCTCTTCTAAAAATTCAATGCAACACAAAAATTTCATTCGAATCAGACATGAAACATTCCAAAAAAACTGCTTTCGAATCAGACAGGAAACATACGCAACGTAAAAATGACAAACCATTTCCAGACGCATTGGGCAGTTTAGCATTCGGCTCTCTGAGCTCGTCGAAAAATTTGTGTGCACATGCTGCTATGGGGGTTATCCTTTCATTAGGGGTGTACTCTAGAAGTTTGGAGACGAGGTCTATGGCGTCTGCGGGTATTTTGGACCTGAACACTTTCTCCCACGGGGACGCTTTGATCTGCGGAAATTTGAACTCCGTGTAGTTGGGGTTCATCTGTTTGATTTGCTCCTTTGACGGAGTGCCTAACACCTTCAAAGAAAATTTAATCCATTTTCAATATAAAAGTAAAACGATACAAACTTATTCAAAGCAAATGGTAAAATTGTCAAGGTTCAAAAAATGTCCCTGACACTAAAAAACTATAGCTTCAGCTACTAAAAAAACTATAACTGGATAGTAATGACCTCACTGTTCATTTAATTGGTGTTAATTTGTTCATATTTGAGCGAAGAAAAATCAAGAGTTATCGCTGGTAGTATAATGATAGAGGCGATAACTCTTGATTTTTCTTCGCTCAAATATAATCAATTCAACACTATTCAAGCGAATAGCTATGTATCATTACTACACACACGTAGGCACCAGACAGTCGGAAAAAAAGGTAAAATCAAAGAAAAAATATCACACCTTGAGTCTTTTTATTCCACACAAAAAAAATACCACACAACTTTTTATAATTGAAATTCAAAATTAAACTCCACTTTACCCGCTATTTGCACGTTTGTTATTTGAGAAGGTAGCTTTATTTCGATGAATTTAGGGTAAAAAACAATTAGAGTTCAAACCGTCAAAACATAAAATTCAGCGTGAAATCTTTTGAATAAATTTCTCACAATTCACAATTTAAAACTCACTGAATGGCGGGAATCAGGGGTGACTAATTTAGGGGAAGGGTGCCGATGACACCACTTTTTAATCTCCTATTGTACCTTAAGGTGCTAGGTAAATAAGACGACAGGCCATTGAGACGAAAAAGCGTTATTATATGTAAAAGTCCCATCAAAAACAGTTGTTGTCTTAATGACCTGTCCTCTTATTTGCCAGTCACCGTACCTTGATGATTTCAACAAGCTGGTCCACTCCACTGTCGCCTGGGAAGATCGGCTGGCCAATCAGAAGCTCCGCCATCACACACCCAGCCGACCACACATCTAAGCACAGTTCATTCATTTCCATGTTTATCCAAAAGCAGGAAAAAAACAGCTCATGATAAGTAGTTGAGGATAGTTTGGAAAATTGCCAATCGCTGTGAACTATTTTCAATAAGTTTCTGTTTTTTTAATATAAAAATCGCTGTTCTGAATAGAAATGGCTCACTAAGTTTCATTATTGACTTCATTCTACAGCTCCCTGTCCGTTTATTTAAAAGCTATCAACATAGCCAACTAACAGTTGGAAAATAGTAATGAACGCAAGGAAACTGAAAAAAAAAATCATTGAAAATAGGGAGGAGCTTTGCAGTCGGGTGTTTTTTCCACGCAAAATTAGGAATCAACAAATAATCCTTGGAATAGGTCCAATGATATATCATATTGAAGCCTTTTCAATTGGACTCCAATTTTTTTTTTCAATTGGACTCTGAGAATTTCCAAGTTGTCCCAGTGTCGAGAAAAACCGGTTTGAAATTTTGAAGTTAGTAGCGCAATCGAGTAATATTGGCATTATAAAAATAAGTGATTTAAACTAAGAAAACATGAAACATAGCCAACTGAGAGTTGGAAAAGAGTAACGAACGCAAGGAAACTGAAAAACATTGACTTCAACTTTTGAATTTCGAAGACAAAAATAGATGGCCTTAAACCTCTTCGATTTGTAGAACAATTTATGATGAACTTTATTTGTTGAAATTAACCCAATTTGAGAAAACTATTTACACTTTTGCACTTTACACTTTTGCTGTTCAATAGCGGGGTTTGCATCCCCTTTAACAAGAAATCAAGTAAAACCGCGAAAAATCAAAACTGACAGGGAACACATTTTAAGGCTTATCCAGAAAAAAAATCACAAAGACATATATAAGAGCACTCACGACGTTCATTGCTCGTAATTAACTAAATGGAAAATTAGTTGTGAAAGCTTCATTTAGAGCTTGTTGGCAATAAAAAAAAACTATTCTGCAAAAAAAATATTTAAATTGAATTTTTTAGTGTATTGTTTGTCATTCATTTTTTCAAAAGAAATGTTCTCAATTATGTCGAATTCACTAACATCACACGCGTGTGTGGAGTTCTCTCGTCATATCACGCATTAAAAACGACATTAGTTTGAAAAAAAATAATAATATTTTGTAGTTTTTTTATGAATTTGGTCGGAACATTCTGTGCTACTTGCACAACAACCGGCTATCCTTGTTACTATTTAGTATTGCTTTTTTCCTATTAAATCATTTCTATTATCTTATGAAAGAAACAAATTTTCTGAACAACTAATTGGCATATCTGTTTTTGTCACTTTTTTCAACATGCTTTCAAATTTTATACTAAGAAAACCCATAACAATAGCTCACCTATACAACACTTGTAGTCCGTCGCTCCGAATATGAGTTCGGGTGCCCTGTAGTATCGTGAACAGATATAGGAGACATTCGGCTCGCCTACTTGTAGTTTCTTCGCGCTAAACACATGAAATATTGGTTGATGCAATAGACCAGTAGAATTGGTTGAAAACCTCTTATCAAAAAGCTCATATCCTTTGCGTACTTATATGTACCACCCCCTTTTTATTGTACCAATGACGATAGATAGCCAGTCAACGTGTTTTCAGCTAGTGCAAATTGTTACCTGCCGAAATTTTGTTAGCTTCCCAATTAAAATCTTTGACATAAAATCCCTTAGGGTGAAACAGAGATTATTTCGCAAACCTCTTCCCAAATGAATACATATTATTTGCGTACTTATATGAGCGACTTCTCTTTAACTCTTCAGCAAAGGCAATGAGTCTTCAGGAACATTCATTATGCGAAAACTAAGCCTAACTCCTGTTGAGCCGAAAGCAAAATTGTTTTCATGAAAAACTTTCTTCAAACCGATATTCCATCAAACTTTGTTTTCAGCTAATGAGCATGGTATTACCTGCCGAAGTCGCAGAGTTTGAGGATTCCTGACTCGGTGTTGAGCAGGAGGTTCTGGGGCTTGATGTCTCGGTGACAGATGTCGTGCATGTGTATGTAGTGGAGACTGCGCATGAGCTGGAACATGTAGAGTCTCACGTTGAATATGGGAATGGTCGTCTTGCTCTTGCTGTAGTGCCTCGCCACCCTGTTTACTGTCTCTGGTACAAACTCCAGAACTAAGTTCAGGTACACTTCGTCTTTCTATTACAAAAAGAAAAAATTCACATGAGGCGAAGCAGAGCATGACTTGCAATACAAATAAATTCCAGTGTTCAGGCGTAAAAATTGACAGTAAAAGCTTAACAGCAGAAACTTCAAAAACTTCACGTTTTTTTCAATTTCAAAGGATTTCAACAGTAGGCACGATCCAGCAGGCTCCATTCTCTGACACACTCATGATTCAAATAAGCACAATTGACAAACTCAAACCAGGCGAAACATTCACTTCCGGAAAACCGTAGAAATCAGGATTTTTCAAAGTTTTACAATAATTAGCACATAGCCAACTGTCAGTAGGAAAAGAGTAATGAACGGAAGGAAACTGGGAAAAAAACCGACGTGTTTTTTCAAAAATCCTTCAATTTTTGTATTTCGGAGAAAAAAAAATAGATGGCCTTAAAACTCTTTCAATTTGCTGAAAATTTTATGCTGGACACTATTTTGTTAAAATTAACCCAATTTGAGAAAACTGGATCAATAGATAAAACTTTTATTTCGCTGGGAAATCTGATAATTAATTTCCATTTACGAAATTAGAATTAGATCAAGTTTTTCGAGACCTTTACATTGTTCGATAGTGGAGTTTTCCTTCCTTTTAACAATATAAATGCACTGAACTTGAAAAAAAAATGACAATTTAACCCACGAAAAATCAAAATTGAGCGTGAACAAATTTTAAGACTTTTATCTGAAAAAAAGTCAAAGAACAAGAAAAAACTTTTTCAAAAGCACTTCAAATTTCGAAGAACAAAATATATGCCCTAACGCTCTTCAAATTTCAAAACCAATTCATGATTCTCACTGCTTTAATCCGATTTGAGTAACCTGGAACAAAAGATAAATTTTTTCATCTGGCATTACTTTTTGCTGTTCGATAGTCGAGTTTGCCTTTCTTTTAACAAAGGAATTGAACTGAATTGAAAATATATCAAAACTCAAACCGCAAAAATTAAAATTAAGACCTATATAAGAGTCTTCACTACTTTCATTGTCTCTTATTGAAATCATGACTTCCAACAATTTGATTAAAAAGAATGCAAAAAACTATGATAAGAATCATTTCTCATTTAACTGTTTTGACTGCCAGGAGAATGAAAAGATTAAAACTTTTATAAATCATCCTAAAATCGTATACCACTAAAAAAATTCTTTTCAATTAATTACGCAATTACAGAAAGAAATAATGATGAAAATTGATCATATCACAAGAAAGTTCGCTCTGTGGCAACTGAGCCAATAATAACAAATGAGAAAAAACAATAAGCAGACAATTAAATTTTTCAGCAAATTACTATTTTTAGTTTGGAAAAGGAACAGGTGCCGATAAATGCTTAATTAAATTGAGCATGAACAAATTTCAAGACATAGCTCGGAAAACAAAAAAGTCAAAAAGACCTATATAAGAGTCTTCACTGCTTTCATTGACTCTTATTGAAATCATGACTTCCAACAATTTGATTTAAAAAAAGCAAAAAACTATGATAAGAATCCATTCTCATTTAACTGTTTTGACTGCAACGAGAATGAAGATTAATTAAAACTTTCATAAATTATCCTAAAATCGTATACCACTAAGAAAATTCTTTTCAATTAATTACGCAATTACAGAAAGACATAATGATGAAACAAAAAAAAGCAAAAAATGATTTAAAAAAGCAAAAAACTATGATAAGAATCCATTCTCATTTAACTGTTTTGACTGCCACGAGAATGAAGATTAATTAAAACTTTTATAAATCATCCTAAAATCATATACCACTAAGAAAATTCTTTTCAATTAATCACGCAATTACAGAAAGACATAATGATGAAACTTTTATAAATCATCCTAAACTTTTATGAATCACTAGAAAGTTCGCTCTGCGGCAACTGAGCCGATAATAACAAATGAGACAAACAATAAGCAGACAATTGAATTTTTCAGCAAATTATTTTTTTTAGATTGGAAAAGGAACAGGTTGCTGCTGAAATCAAACCCTGCATTTTTGTCGTGCAAGGCATAGACTTTCCTCTAGATTTTCGAGAATATTTTATGACCAACAATTTTACAAAAAAAATAGCTCAATTAGAAAAAATTTGATAAATAGGCAAATTTTTTATTCGATGGGACATCTAAAAATTACAATCCACTTTCGAACCAAAAATCAATTTGTGCCGTTTCAGCTTTCTTAATTGAATAGTGTAACTTCCCTTCCTTTTAGCAAATGAATTGGAATGAATCAAAAGCCAAACAGAAACACTCAAATGAAACAAAAATTATTATTAAATAAAAAAACTTTTAAAAAAATCATCACATCCTTTGTAAGTGTCTTCACTACGTTCAATGACATTTAAAAAGCCAATGTAAACACAACAAACTTTGACACAGAAGCGAAGTTGCACTTCGCACACAAGCAAAAATAAAACCGATAACGCTACTGGGAAAAACTGAATGAGTAAAACTATGAGTCTACGAAATTTCTTAAGTGACGCACGCCAATTATGAGTCTATATAATTGCTAAGTGACGCAAGCCAATTATGACGCATAAGCAGTACCAGTCAATTTGATTAAAAAAATTTACCAACTAACATGCCTCAATTTATAGAGCGGACGCATTTTAACTAGTATACGAAAAAGTTCAATAAAAACATCCGACCCTGCCCAGGTTCAAACCCTCTTATTTTGTTGCGGGTCTCATTCCCTACCCTACAGATTCATGATACCTTCAGCTTAAGTGCTATTTTTAATATAATAGTCTGTATTAATATTCTTAGCATTGGTTGTACTTGATAGCTGGCTATTGATCAAAATGAGCACTTTCAAAATGAAGATAATTTTTTTCGCAACAATATTTGTGTCGCAACAATATTTGCGACTTAGGTTGGAAAAAAGAGAGTTCATACTATAACACAAGCTTTGCTAGTGTAAATTGAAGAGGAATTTATTATTCAGATAAGCTCAAAAATGTGAAGTCACCAACAGATTTAATTCAAAAAAAAAATAACAAACTTGCAAGAAAAATTAACTATGGCAAAAATGAATGGCTCCCGATTATACGCCACTATCTCTTGCAAGTGTAAATCCTCTTTTAAAGCATATTTAACAATTCATATTCAAGACTACGTTCATCAAAAAAATTAGTGCTTTCAATATTCGCTAGATTTGGGTCTAAAAGAATCAGACCAGTTTCAAAAACGTTTTGAAATTTCGTCCTGGTACCCGGATCACGAATGAAAGAACTTTAGGGCAAGCTTTCTTTGAAACGCCCTAAATTGCGCGGAAAAACAACCAAAATTTCTTCACATTCAGTGAGCTGTCGGAACAAAAAAAAGTAAAAGCAAATATTTACACTTTTCTTGAAAAAGCACAGGACCTACATAAAAAAATTCCCTTAGGTCTTTCATTGACTTTTAAAAATTCATCCAAACAAAAATACTTTTACTCACTTTATCTCCTGTTGAGTAGAAAAAGTAGAGTAACTGTACAATATTGGGGTGGTAGAGCTGTCGCATGATTTGCAGTTCACGATTCTAAAACATCGAGCATAAATTAAACGTAACTCTTTTGGCTTTTTTTACATAATTGCCAATAGCTAACTTTGAATCGCTTGTCTTGCAGAACTTTTTTGATGGCGACATCTAAGGGACCTGAGGAGTTTGTGTTGCTGTTCGATTGAGAGTGAGCAGGGTCTTGAATTAGCTTTGCTTGATAGACAACTCCAAAAGAACCATTTCCAATTACTTTGGAGTCTGTGTAAGCTATGTCTACGGGTGTGTCGCTGCCTCGACCCGGAGTTGCCTGTACTACAATCGGCTTCCCACTGAGACCATCTAAGCGAAATTTAATATTTCGACTTCAGTGGAAAACAAGAACTTTGATGGTTAAATATTGAGACGGAGATAAATTAACATTTCAGTCAAAACATTAGAAGAGCGTCCGTCAACGATTTGTAAGAAAGCACCGGTTACCTTTTTTATAAGCTCCAAGGCCAGAAGTCAAACCCCTTGAAAGGTTGTCAGCTATGGGGGCTTGAGAGTGAGAAGTAGTTCTTGCGCGTTGGCTCATCGCTACCAATTAATCAATTTAATTTCAGATGTTAAAGCATCTAGGTATAATTCATGATACTCATGTGCTGATCCCGACATCATAAGCTTGAGAAAAAGATTCAGCTTTTAGCATAACGATCTCTGAAAACAATAAACTCATCAATTGTAAAGAAAAATTGTTTTCAGACAACCAAGTGTATGGCAAATTTCAATCAAGTTAATCATAAGAAATAAGTGAACGTGATACATCAGTAATCAACATTCCATAAGCCTTCAGACATTTTTAGTGACGTAGATGATTTCGTTGAAATTCAAACTTCTCCATGACACTTTACCAAAGAGTGCAACTAATGGATTCATCTTAAAAATAAAAAAAACTTGATGTTGGGCAAGATTAATTTTCAAGGAAGGTATGACAGACAATATCTTTCCGACGTGCAAAATCTTACTGCACAACATTGTGCTACAAACGAAAAGCACCCACAAGAGATAGATGAATAAGAAAACAATCTCGAGTGATTGAAATAGGAAATTTTAACAGACTTGAAAAGCAAGAATTCATGTACAGGAGGATGAAGACTTTACATTGCTGTTCAGGTTTAGAATGAAAACTTCAGACGGCAGTGCATTTTTGGTAAAAGTACATAAAAAATTTTAAGCGGCAACTTCTGTAAATTACTCCTGTCCTGGCACTCTAATTCGGATTTATTGAAATTCTGGAAGCTCGATGATGACAACGCCCAATGAAGATATTGATCTTTAGTCTGGGGAGTATGTGTCGGTCGGTCATGATTGTCATGAACTATTTACACGAGACAACTGAAAGTCAGAAAATCAAAACAGCCGAATTAACAATCTCGGAAAATTTTCATTGAGTTCAATAGCTATTCGCAATTGACCTATTATAAACAAGAATAGAGTGGTCTCTTTCCTGTCAGAAAACAAAAAGAGTTGTTCGTGAAGCAGTCCGAAAAAGTCAAGGAATTTCTGTGAGTAACGGAACAACGTGAATGGAAACTTCTCCCAGTGAACTGACCTTTCGGTCCATATTTCATCGAAAGATTAAAAAAACTTTTTGAGTTAGTTAATTATTTTTAGATTGATCAAATTCCATACTGGAATCACTTCCAGAGTTATTTGTCATGTTCTGAGTTCCTGAATTTCACACGAGAGGCTGTTCTGTCTGATTATCTTGAGATAAAGTGAGTTAGAGTTAATACATCTGAAATGGATTAAACACACAATGTCTATTAAACAGTGACAAAATACCCACCATTCTGTAACATTTGTTCGCACAAAGCACAAATGAGATTGAGAAATATAGGTCCTCACATCATTTGCGCAAGACTCAGGGACACTATCTGTAACAGTCGCCTACTTAAGTCACATATGAGCTTAAGAAAAATGAGCCCTATAACCATTGGCTCACGAGACAGGGACAGTATCTCTTGTGTTTTTCTACCTCAAGCGGTCGGAGCCGATTCAGTTCACTTGCGACATGAGACTACAAACCGTGTTACAGCTTAAAGGTTACTACCAAAATACCTCACCCCCCCCCCCCACTCTTGAAATAAGAACGCCCCCATTCTCAGGTCTCGAAATAACTAAGACACGCGAACGCCGTTAAAAACAGGGTCGGAACCTAACGTAAACCGTTAGTTTTTCATTGGACAGGGGGCCTTTGCTTGAACTTATAATTTGAAACTCATTGCTTGAATTAAAACTTATTTTTGTTTCAAGTTTCTTGAGTTATGTTTAATAACCCCAAATAAATTCTAGAGTTGCTCTTCAATGTAGTTACTCGATCCTAGAGGTCGTGTCGGTATGTAAGTGCCCAATTTAAATTTCTTGAATGTGTTTTATGTTATTATGTTAGGGAGAGTTATTAGGTTGATCCATCTGAAATGGATCCATCTGCAAACTTCTGTAAATGCCCACTGGCACTGTATCTTGAGAACGCACTCAACATTCTGAGGGCTCACTGACAGACGACGACACGCGATGAGGACATCGATCTTGAGTCCGAGTAGTATGTGCCAGTCAGTCATATTTGGAAGTTTGACCTTGAGCTGAACGTTTAATCTTGATTTTGGGGAGAAAAGAATTTTTTCAAAACTCCGAATTGAGTCTTTCATGCTCAAGTTTCTCGCGATAACTAAAAAAAAACAAAAAGAAATCAATCGGGAGAATCGAGTAATACTCGCGGGAAAGTAGCTGAAAATTAGTGGAATAAAATTGCTATTCGCAAATTTACTATAACTCGAACGAGAGTAGAGCTGTCTTGTTCCTGGCAGAGAAACAGGAGTGACGGAGAACAGATAGAAGGAGCGTTCGAGTGGACCAGAGCGAACCTTGAATGGAAAAAACAGGGACTTCGATACCGACAAACTTCCGGTATCGGTATCGGGCATCTAATTTGAAGTATCGGTATCGGTATCGTTTTGGCTGCTTAAGTGGTATCGGTATCGTTTTTTCTGAAAATAGCTTTTGATTATCGGGAAAAGTATCGCTTTGTATTGTATCTTAAAATAGACTCAGAAATAAAAAACCTTTTGTCGAACATTTTTATTTATAACAAAACAAATTTAAAGCAAATGCTGACATTTATTTAGAAATACATTGCGCGAGTGGGTAGCCGGGCTCATCTGACCTTGAAGGTAATTTTTTGAGAGCCGAACTCAAGAAACCAGGCGCTCGGCGTCTACGTTAGATGACCCAAAGCCGTCCAGGGCATTCAAATATCAAATCCTGTTGATTGCTGCTCGCGATCCTTGAAACTCTTGTAACTGGATTCCGGGTTGGTATATCCATGCTCACCGCCGTCAATATTAGGCACCACCTTGTGTCGGATGTAATCATGAAATTCTCCGTCTGCGTAAAGCAGTGCTTTTGCAATCATATTAGGTGAATTCCATTTGTCCCATACGCTTTTTATCGTTTTTACCGAGTGGGTTTCTGGGAGCTGAAGCTGATCTGTGTTTCAGAAACTTAAGAATACTAAAAGCTGTTTTTGCGCCCGCCGAGTGTTCTTGTAGATCCATAGTACATTCCTTAAGTGTAACCATGTAGTCAATATCGGAGATCTTAATAACAATGAGCTCTAGTCGGTTACTAAGATGCATTGTTATTTCGCTAGAACCACACACGCCGTCATAGTTAATTAGCCCAAGACATTGGCAATTATTGAATTATTCAAATTCTCGATATCCGAGCCATCGCCTGGCAAAGTTTCGTCAATGTTAGTATCAGTGTCATCCATAATCCATTATCACACAGTTATCACCAAAACAAAAACAGCTAGTTTAAAACTGCCTTCTAAAAAATCAAGCAAAGAAATCAAAAGAAGATAGAGCGCTCCGTGAACGCAAAAATTTAAGGTGACCGAAAATAAGGTGAAAACTTAAAAGGTGAAATTAAGGAATTTAAGGTGAAAATTATAATGACCGACCGAGCAAAAACTGACAAAGTATCGGAATTTAAAATTTCAAGTATCGTTTCTATCAAAAATTGCGATAAATCCAGATCGAGTATCGAAGTATCGGAGACAAAAAAAATATTGGTATCGAGTATCGATATATCGATGTATCGAACGATACTATCGATATAGTATCGTGCTCCCTGGGAAAAAAGGACAGCTGACGCTGTCCAATGGTCCAGATAGAAAACTTATTGCTTGAATTAAAACTTTTTTTTTCAAGTTTCTTGAGTTATGTTTAATTACCCCAAATAAATTCTAGAGTTGCTCTTCAATGTAGTTACTCAATTTTAGAGGTCTACAAACCGACACGACCTCTAGAATCGAGTAACTACATTGGAGAGCAACTCTAGCATTTATTTGGGGTAATTAAACATAGCTCAAGAAACTTGAAAAAAAAAGTTTTATTTCAAGCAATAGATTTTCTGTCTGGACCATTGGACTGCTTCAGCTGTCCACTTTTCCATTCAAGGTTCGCTCTGGTCCACTCGAACGCTCCTTCTATTTGTTCTCCGTCACTCCTGTTTCTCTGCCAGGAACAAGACAGCTCTACTCTCGTTCGATTTATAGTAAATTTGCGAATAGCAATTTTACTCCACTAATTTTCAGCTACTTTCCCGCGAGTATTACTCAATTCTCCCGATTGATTTCTTTTTGTTTTTTTTTTCAGTTATCGCGAGAAACTTGAGCATGACAGGCTCCATTCGAAATTTTGAAAAATACTCTTTTGTCCCCAAAATCAAGATTAAACGTTCAGCTCAAGGTCAAACTACCAAATATGACTGACTGGCACATACTACTCGGACTCAAGATCGATGTCCTCAACGCGTGTCGTCATCTGTCAGTGAGCCCCCAGAATGTTGAGTGCGTCTCAAGATACAGTGCCAGTGGTCATTTAGAGAAGTTTGCAGCAGATTTAACTTTACCAACAACCGAAAATTCACAGCCATGCAAAATTGTCACATTATCGCTGAACAGTAATGACATGGGCATTTTCCGTGCGTCAAGTTGATGCTCCGGATTTTGCGCTCTCCCGAAGCTTCAAGCAGAGGTTCGAATTCCATCATCTTCGCGTATGTCACGCCATCGTTGTCTTTCCAGTCGTATTCTGCCTCTTGAATTCACTAGCATTCTTTTTTTCCAAAATCAAAAATCTTCCCCCCAGATCTCACTCAAGTCCTCCCTTCCATCTCCAGGCACCGCTCCTAACATCTTCTGCAACAACTGATGTGAGTGATGCGACATCCTCGCCAAGCGCACGCACTTGCGCATTGAGAAAGCCTTGTCGATCAGCACCCTCTGACTAAATGCTTCCAACATCGCCATGTGTGCCGGATAAGGGCTTCCGCATAGGTTAGCCATGACTGATCCCACCAGAGACTTTGCATTCATCGGTAGACTGTAGGCCTCGCTCACGGGAAACCCAATTTCCGCCTCAAGAGCGATTTTCCATCCCCTGATGTGCTTCTCAACCATCTGCAGCACTCAAGGCCAAGACTCCACGCCTAACGTCGTCACCAGATGGTGCTCGGACTCTATCATCTCCAGTGAATGTAATCTACACATCCTTGAGCAGAATCCCAACGCCGTTGCCAAATTCACGGTGGTGCTTGCGTAATACCAGTCACTATTTGCACCTCGCTCTTCTCCTTCTCAGTGATG